GAAATTATTCTGTGCCTGCAAGTCTTTCCAATTTATGGTGACTCTAAGACAATCCTATCACAGGGGCTTTTTGATAAAATTTGTTTAGAGGTAGTTTGCCATTGCCTTCCCCTGAGGCTGAGAGTGTGTGACTTGCCCAAGGTCACCCAATGGGTTTCAGGACCGAGAGAGGAATTGAACCCTAGTCTCCAGAGTCCCAGTCCAACACTCAAACCACTACACCACCTTGACACCACTTTCAATTGCCATGGCTCCATGCTATGGAGTTCTGGGAAATGTAGTTTGCAACAGCACCAGAGCTATGACAGTTCAAAGTGGTGTCAAACCAGATTATTTCAGCAGTGTGGATGCAGCCTGATAGGTCCTTCAAAGTTATTATTATTATTATTATTTGTTACCCATCTCTTCCCTTGGATTGAATCAGAGAACAACAACAGCCCAGCAAATATGCATCAGTTAAGACACAACTTCATTTAAAACATACATTGATTAAAAAGAACAAGACACATATGCATTAAAGCAATCTATGCTTTAAAATCATAATTTAAAATTTACTGTTTTAAAAATCATCTGGAAAGGTCTGCTGCAAAAGATTAGTCTTCAATGCTGTTTTAAATTTAGACAGTGTATTCAGCTGAATAATCTCTTCTGGCAGGTTGTTTCACAGTCTAGGGGCGGCTGCAGAAAAAGTCCTCAGTCTGACAGTTGCCAACCTAGTCCTTGCTGTCTAGAGCAGGGGTAGGCAACCTAAGGCCTGGGGGCCAGATGCGGCCCCCCGAGGCCTTTGGACTGGCCCCAGGCCAGTCCTGCCACCGCCGCCGCCCGCCATGATGATATTGATTATTGTTGTTCTTGGGGTTTTCTTGGCAAAATCTCCACAGGGGTTTTGCCATGGCTTTTCTGGGGCTGAGACAGTGTGCATGCATATCTTTTTAATTTTTTAATTTGGGGGGGGATTTATTTATTTATTTATGGTGCTTCGGCCCACCAATTCTCTGAGGGACAGCAATCCGGCCCCCGGCTCAAAAAGGTTGCCTACCCCTGGTCTAGAGTAACTGTTAACCAGAGGACTTGAGTGTATAGGGCAGATTACATAGGAGGAGATGTTCCTGTAGGTAACTTGTACCCAAACCTTAAAAGTAACAACCAACACTTTGTAACTTGCCCAGAAACTAACTGGCAGCCAATGGAGTGATTTTAATATAAAACTGATAACAATCTGCCTGCCCTTGTAGACTGCCCCCCCCTCAATACCTTGAAGACAATTCCACATTCCCATGAACACTATAGAATTATATTGTAGTGCTCCCTTGGTATCTACTGGGGGTTTGGTTCCATTACCTGCCATGGATACCAAAATTTATGGATGCTCAAGTCCATTATATACAATGGCTTAGTAAAATGGTGTCCTTTATGGACCCTACTCAAGGGTCCATGAGATAGCAAAATCAAAGTTTGCTTTTTGGAATTTATATATATTGGGGATATGTTCAAGCCATGGATAGTTGAATCTGTGGCTATGAGAGGCCAAATGTACTAGGATTCCACCTTGACTGCCATGGTTCCATGATTTGAAATTTGGGGAGGGCTATTTAGAATTCTAGGCCTAAAAATTCTAAAGGCACAAGATCCCATCTAATTTGGGAAGCTAAGTAGGGCCAACTCTGGTTCGTACTTGGATGGGAGACCATCAACAAATACCAACTGCTGTAGATTATATTTCAGAGGAACTGCCTGGTAGATTATATTTCAGAGGAAGGAACCTCTGAGTACTCCTTGCATATGAAACCCCTATGAAATTCATGAAGTTACCATAAGTCAACAGGCAGCTTGAAAGCACATACACACACACATTAAGAATTCTCAGCCAGAGAGATTTAGTGGCTCAACAAACTACAAATCTCAGGATTCCACTCATTCATATTCATCTCTTAAAGATGGCAGCATCTTGCTTGCGTGCATGAGCCATCCCAGAAAGCTAGCTGCAAGGTCATAAAGAATAGATCTGTTATCAGGCTGTACTATGAGGTTACAGGCAAAAAAAGCAGAATATTTGAAAGGTCCTTGCGTATAGAAAACAGTCTGTCCGGAGAGAAAACTAATTCTTCTCAGTATTATGCTAAGGTATTTGTTTTTCTTTCTAATCTAAAGCATGTGTTATATGGATAAGAATTGTTGTTATTGTGTGCCTTCAAGTCATATCTGATGTATGGTCACCCTAAGGTGAATCTATTACAGAGTTTTCTTGGCCATATTTGTTCAAAGGCAGATTGCTTTGCCTTCACAGAATTTTTTTTCCTCTATAGTATCAAACTGGGATTGGAAAAAGAGTCAGTTTTCTCTTGCACTCAGATTTTTTTTAAACCTCAAGTTCTTTCCATCTCACATATGAAGAAATTTGTAAACAGTTGCAAAATTATTTTCCAATGTATTGAAACAAAAATATCCTCCATCTCTACCAGCCAATAGTTAATGGGTGTAAAGATGAGGAAACTTCCAGAAAAATAAAAAACTCTAAATGACTAGATGCATAGGGAATCAGTCCCAGGGCTTTTTCACAGCACAGTTTTAGCACTATGATCCCACTTTAACTCCCATTGTAAGATCCAGTGTAATCCTAGAGTTTGTAATTTGTTGAAGCACTAGAGCTCTCTGGCTGAGAATTTTAACCCCCCCCCCCCTAAACTGCATATCTCAGGATTCCACGGGATGCTGCCATGGCAGTTAAAGTGGAATCATAGACCTAGAATTATGTAGTTCTTTAAGAATTAAGAACTCAAAGACCTGCATCTGGACATATGCATCCCCCATATTGGGTGTGGTTCCCCCCCCCCTCATTTTTTAAAAAATCAAGTTCTTTCCTATATTTCAAAAGTGAAAAAATGAAACTGTCTATTCTTATCAAAAGCAACTTGCAGTAATATTCTCATCTGCCCATAATTTCATATTGAGCAGTTCTGTACTGAAAAGAGAAGAAGAAGGGGGGGGACTTACGTTATGCCAGGTTGGATTACTAATTTTTTTGTCCATCTAGTTTGGGGGACTAGAAGAGTATCATCCAAGGCCTCCTAATGTAGACATTCCTTTCCCCAAAAAAGACTGTTAGCCCTAAAATGGCAAATCATAGCCTCCATTTTTATGTATCCTCCTAGGCTCATTTTAGGATAAATAAATAAATAAATAATCTCACTTTTTTAAAAACAATAGAAATGGTTGGCCCAAGGAAGCCAATGAAGTTAGCAAAAAATAAAAAATAAAAAAATGGAAACATACAGTTGGAAAGAACTCCAAGGGCCATCTACTCCAGTCTCCTGACAGTTCAAGAATTTAGCACTCAAGTACTACTTCTGGGCAGGTCATCTGCCATTTTAGGGGACAAATGGGGAAGGATCAGAGGGGAAAACAGGCCTCCAAGGAGGCCAGAAAAGGGGCTTTGGATTCACAGTAGTCTGATTATCAATAATTTTCTCCTGTATTTTAGGATTTCCCCCGTGGTTTGTTACCTGTGCCTTTACCCTCTCCCCTGCCTCCACTATAGATGCCCAGAGAATGAAGACTGTATCTTTTGCATGCAAAGCAGGTGCTCTGCCACTGACCTATGGTCCCTCCCTGGAATCATTGCATTGCATTACACCTGGCAAGCTTAATGGCACACCACCAAGTGACATAAATGGGTCATCAGCACCATCACAGACAGAGTGTTTGCATCACTTCAAGCATGATGCCTCTGGGGGGCGGGGAGAGTCACAGCTCCCACGTTCAGCTGTCAGCAGTCAAGTGATGTACATGCATCTTGACGACTGTTGGATGAATACATCAATGGACTCCATGGAAAAGTGTTGTGCTTGAAGTGAGCCAAGGGAACACAAAAGCCCCGTCTAAATTGGGTGCTTCTGATGGCCCTTTTACACATGCAGCTCACCACTCGATGTGGCACTAACTGAGTGATGAATGTGCATCTGTGACTATGCCTGAGTCCCCACCTCATCTATCTACACAGATGACATGAGTGATGTAAGTGGGTGTGCTGATTGATTTTGGATGAAGCCACAAGTTCTGACAAGTGGGTGCCAGCGCAGGTTCCATTCTAGTCACAAACAAAGCAACCACATGCCATATACACAAAGTTCTGGGGATGTTGGTTGGGGAGAAAAGGTAAGAATAATCTTGGAGGTTTGTAGGAAGCTGTTTTGGTACTAAATTACTATTTGCTATCAGTACTGAATTAGATGAGGGTGAACACACTGAAGCTTAATCCAGGCAAGACAAATGTGCTTCTAGTCACTCAAAAGGCAGATCAGGGAGTATTGTTGTTGTTGTTGTTGTTGTTGTTGTTGTTGTTGCTATTGTTGTTGTTATTATTATTATTATTATTATGCTTTATTTATACAGAACTGTACATACAATCAATAAAATAGATAAATAAAGATAAGCCTGCCAATGGCGTACGTTCTACAAAATAATAAAATAATGTATATTAATACAAAGGAGGCAACAAATTAAAACATCAAATAATAATCATGCAATGCCTGAGAATGCTCCCCTGAACAATATAGTCTTTAACTCAGCTTTGAAGCTAGTTAAAGAAGTGATGCTCCAGGCTCGTAGGGGAAGGAGGTTCCAGGAATGAAGGGCAGCAAGTGATTTTTTTCTTGGAGTTCAGCCTTTGCTGGATGAGGTTAACCCCCCCCCCAAAAAAAAATTTCGTATTTTGGATGTTCTCCTGGATTCAGCCCTGAACTTAGAGATCCAGTTTCAGAAGTGGCCAGAAGTGTGTTTGCACAGTTAAGACTAACATGTCCACAATGCCTATACCTGGACATGTTTTGTCTGGCTAGAGTAGTATGTAACATGATTGTGCCATATGCTGTGTGCCTTCAAGTCATTTCCGACTTATGGTAACTCAATCATGGCAAGATTAGTTCAGAGGAGGTTTACCATTGCCTTCCCCCTGATGCTGAGCTCATGAGACTTGCCCAAGGTCACCCACCAGGCTTCCATGGCCGAGCTGGGAATCGAACCCTGATCTTCAAAGTCGTAGTCCAATACTCAAACCACTATGCTATGCTACATCCTATTTAAATTATTGTAACACTCATTATGTGAGCCTCCCATTGGAAACTGTTCAGAAACTGGCTCCAAAATGTTTCAGCCAGAGTACTGACTGAAGTTAGTTACAGGGAATATGTAATATACAGGATAATCTGCTTTTTGCAACAACTTTGCTGGTTACTGCCTATTTCCACTCAGAACTCATAATGCTGGTTGAAACCTATACAGTCCTATAGAGCCTGGTCCCAGACTATCTGAAAAACTGTATTTACTTATATGAACCTACCAGAGTCTTAAAATCCTTGAGGGAGAGCTTTCTCTTGGTCCCACCCACTGAGAGAGCCTTCTCAGTTGCTGCTCCCAAGATGTGGAATTATGTTCCATGTTCTATTTTATCTTAGTCATTTTTAAATGATTTTTCACTTTCTAAAATTAGTGGCATTTCACTATGTTAGCTGATCTATTTGTGTTTTAACATTTTTATCATCGAGTGTTGAGTTTTATATTATTTTATTTTTCATTCATATTTTTAGTTATAGTATTTGTTTTCTCTTTATTTATTTTAAGTCCTGATATTTCTTCACACTGGTTTAATAAGTCTGTCACCTGATGTATACTTTTGATTGGATCTTCTAGTGATATTAAAATATCGTCTGCAAAGGCCCTAATTTTAAATTGAGTTCCTTTACATTTAATTCCTTGAATTTCTTTATCTTTTTTAATACTACCAATTAAAGTTTTCAATACAGAAATGAAAAGTAAAGGGAATAGCGGGCATCCTTGCCTCACACCTTTTTAAATCTGTATTGGTTTAGTTTTTTCTCCTTTTATAATTACACAAACTGTTTGGAATTGGTATATTGCTTTTACCCACTCTAAAAAATGTCCTTCTATTTTTGTTTTAACACACTTGTCATTAAAGTCCAGCTAATATTATCAAAGGCTTTTTCTATGTCTAGAAAAAGAAGTGCAATTTTTTTGTTATTATGTAGATCAAAGTGCTCTATTAAATCAATAACAAGTCTTGTATTTTCATTAAGATGTCTTTGTGGTAAAAAAAAAAAATTGTTCTTCTCTGATTAGATTTTTCAATACCGTTTTAAGCCTGTTTGACAAAACAAAGGTAAACAACTTGTAATCTATATTTAACAGGGATATTGGTCTGAAGTTACATAGCAGCTGATGGTCTCTTCCTTCTTTAGGAATTGAAATTGTATTTGCCTCACACCATGTTTTCTCTTTTACAGCATTCATTGTTTCTGTTAGCGGTTTTATTATTTCCACCTGAAAAACTTTATAGTATGTAGCTATAAAACCATCTGGTCCTGGAACTTTACCTTTTTTAAGGTTTTGAATTGCTTCCTGAACTTCCTCGGAGCTAATAGGTTGATTTAATTTTGCTTCTTCTTCTTCTTCTTTTAATTTTTTCATATTGTTTTCTTGTAAAAATTTATTTATTTCTCTTTCAACTATTTTTTGTTCTGTAAAGAGGTTTGTAAAGTATTCATTGAATACTTTTTAATTTTCATAGTTTCTGTATATATTTTTCTCCTTTTTATTTTTGTTATTATTATTTTATCTCTTTCCTTCCTTATTTTGTGGGCCAGCCATCTTCCTGATTTATATGCATATTGAAAGTGTTTTATTTTTACTTTATTTTATTTGCTATTTCTTGTATTGTTTCTAATGAGTATTTATTTTGCAGTATTTTTATTTCTTTTATTATTTTGCCTTTATTATTAGATTGTTGTAATTCTAATTCTTTTTGATTTATTTCTCTAGTTATTTTATCTATTTTTCTCTTCTTCTTTTTTTATTTTATTTATTTATTTATTTATTGCATGAAATGACCTCTTAAATCAGCCTTGCTGGCTTCCCATACTACTTTGGTATCTATTTCATTATTTAAATTTTCTTGAAAGTATTGTTTAAAGTTTTCTGCCATTTCATCCACTATTTTAGGATCTCTTAAGTATTCTGGGAGTTGCCAATTATATTCTGATTTTGTATTTTTTAGATCTAATAAAATTGGGTTGTGGTCTGAGTATGTTTTGGTTATAATCTCCATCTTCTTTACTTTCCCACCAAGAACTTTAGAAATTAGAAACATGTCCAGTCTTGCAAAAGACTTATGTCTTTCTGGGGGGGGGGGGAAGTAAATTGCTTTTGTTCTCCATATTTAAATTTCCATACACTGATCAAACTTAAATATTCCATCATTTGAAAAAAAGTTTTGGCAATTTTTCCTGATTATCTCCAATTTTTTTACTGGACAATCTAGTTTTATTTTATTTTCTTGTAAGCCACCTTGGGTCCTATGTTGAGAGGTAGGCAAAATATCAATATGTTAGATAAATAATCTCAATAATTTTACAATTATGTATTAGATAATTTTGTCATAACCCATGGAATTAGTGTCATCCAGTGAAATATACTGGGACAAGACTCAAGAAGCAGGGTGGGCAATTGTAACCTTCCAGATGCTTTGGACTGCAGCTCTCATAATGCCTTGCCATTTGATAAACTGAATAGATCTGATGGGGCTGTACGCCAAAAAACCTCTGGAGAGCCATGCTTTGCCATCAGTTGCTCAAGACAAAGGAAGCACGTCACATTATTTTTTTTTTACATTGTCATATATTTGTATTGCAGTTTTAAAGTATGATTACAAAGGAAAAAAACAAAAGGGAAAGCAAATAAAAAATATGAAAAAGGGGAAATAGATAGGATATAATAATAATAATAATAATAATAATAATGTTTATTTATATTTCCTGCTATGGATCGAAGCAGGATTACACAATAAAATATGCAACAATGTACAAAAATACAATCAATAAAATCAATAAAATCACAACATTGTTAATAAATGAGTAATAAATTATATAAAATAAAATAAAATAAAATAAAATAGCCAATTGTCATCCGTACCCAAAATTGATTTTAAAGTGGTACTATAGAGGTTCACTAAGAAGATCAGATGGATAGGCCCACCAGAAGAGCTCCATCTTAAATGCCTTCTTAAAGGCATCAAAAGTAGTAATAAGACGGATCTCTTCTGGTAGGCTGTGGCTGTGAACAATCTTTGGGAAGTTAAACTCAATCTGGTTTTATAATGATCTAATACATTCTTCCAGAAGTTCTGAAAGTGTGGGGTGGATTATATGGGGAGAGGCGTTCCTTCAAGTAACTCAGGTCCAAGCCATGTAGGGCTTTAAAGATAATAACCAACACTTTGTACTATACCCGGAAGCTAATCGGCAGCCAATGGAGACATTTTAATACAGGAATTATATGGTCTAACCTAGATGTTCCGGTCACCAATCTGGCTGCCACATTTTGAACCAACTGAAGCTTCTGAACTTGGTACAGAGGTAGCCCCATGTAGAGCACATTGCAGAAGTCCAAACAAGTGATTACCAGGGCAAGTACTAATGCTTCAAGTTCCTTTCGGCCCAGGTAGGGATGCAGTTGGCAGATCAACCAAAGTTGATACCAAGCACTCCTGGCCATCGCATCCACTTGAGATGACAGCTGTAGAGATGAGTCCAGGAGTACTCCCAAACTGCTAACTTTGTCCTTTAGGGGAAGTGTGACCCCATCCAGGACTGGTTGACAAAGCTTTCTCCCCAGACTAGGGGTACCTATCACAAATACCTCTGTTTTCTCTGGATTCAGCTTCAGTTTGTTTTCCCTCATCCAGCCCGTTACCGACTCAAGACAGGCATCCAGAGGAGCAATGCCATCTTTAATCAATGCAACAGTCAGAGACATCGAGAAGTAAAGTTGGGTGTCTTTAGCGCACTGATAAAGCGCCCCATGTCTCCGGATGATCTCACCCAGCAGCTTCATGTAAATGTTAAACAGCATGGGGGATAAAATGGTGCCCTGATGAATGCCAGATGTCAGATCTCTTTTAGAAAAGCTACTATCCCCCAGCATCACCATCTGGAATCTGCCCAGCAGGTAAGACTGGAGCCACTGAAGCGCAGTGCCCCCAATACCTAACTTCCTCAGGCATTCCAAACGGATACCATGTCTATGGTATCGAATGCTGCTGAGATGTCCAAGAGCACCAACAGGGTCACACTTCCCCTGCCGATGCCCAAATGGAGATCATCGACTAAGGCGACCATGGCAGTCTCAACTCTATATGCTGCCCTGAAGCCAGTTTGAAATGAGTCCAAATAATCATCTTCTTCCAAGACAGCTTGGAACTGGAAGGCAACTGCCCTCTCGATAACCTTACCTAAGAATAGTAAAAAGGAGACCAGCTTGTAATTATTTTTCACCAGGGGATCAAGGGAGAGTTTTTTCAAGAACGGTTTAACCACCGCTAGTTTCAAGCTAAATGGAAATTCTCCCTCCCTGAGGGATGCATTAATCATAAGTTATAGCAATATTTTTACTACATCACCTCCCTGGACGGTCAGCCATGATGGGCAAGGATCAAAAAGGCACATTGTCGTTACACTTCCAAGAGCTTGTCCACTTCATCGGTATTAACAAACTCAAAATGATCCAGTTTAACACAATCCACAGAGTCTCTGGAAATCTCTCTTATTGGTTCTGTTATAATGCCCGCATCTAGATCGACCCTTATCTGAGAGATTTTATCTACAAAAAACTCATTAAAAGTGTCACAGCAGGCTTTAGTTGGTTCCAATAATGAGTTCAGGGTGGGAGGCAATTGAATTAATTCTTTAACCACCCTGAACAGCTCTGCTGGATGAGACTTTGCAGATGCAATATGTGCAGCATAGAAAGAATTCTTTGCTGCATCTATTGCCACTCCATAAGAATCCAACATGTTCCTATGGCGTGTCTTGTCAGATAAACGTCGGTGTTTCCACCAGTGGTGCTCTAATCATTGCATAGCCCGCTTCATTTGATGAAGATCTCCTGTATATCATGGGGTTTTTTTATTTGAAGCAGGTTGGAAAGGATGCTCAGTAGTGATAGCATCTATAGCCCTGCTAAGGCTGTTATTCCACGTATCAACGAAGACTTTGACAGAATC